AGGAGTCCTCATGTGGAAAAAAAGTTTTCAGTAAAGAGATCCGCAGATAGTTCCTGATAGTTTATACTTCTATAAATCAGTCTATTTCTTCAAGAGCGACATTTGAAAGCGCGTCGAGGTAACAGCGAACGTTTAGGGCTGGGTAGCCGAAAAAAAACCAGAAAATAAAAACCGAAGCCATAAAAAAGTAGCCTTGTAGTAAGGGACTGAACGTGAACGCCTGTGTGTAATGCAACTAGGGCCCTATTGCGGCACCACCCTAATACATCGAAAAGCATTCAGACCACATGTACAATTATTCTTAGCCCTATAAACATCATTTGTGCCTCTATCTTTTCAGGGAGGAACGATTAAAACGTTGGTGCGATATCTGAACATCCGCTTAGCTCGAAAAGAAGACAACTTCCGGCTGTTCATGGAATTTAACCGCGGAATGATCGGTCACATGACACAGGGCATCGAAGATCTCTGTGGGTATAAGGATCGTAGCGTGGCGGTGAGTGATCTTCACTTTGGCAACCATTACGGCTGTTGACATCTAGTCCTTTTAGCACCAGCTGAGCGTATTTTCGAAGGCCTATGTACGGCCACTAGTTCAAAGAGACTACAAAAAACAGCAGAAAGGAACAGAACGATTGATTGAAATGGATCGATTTGAGACGATGAAGTGAAAAATGTTTCTGGGACCTTTGTTTTTCAGGTTACGGTTAATTACTGTTTAGGGAGATGCGGTCGAGTCCGTCACAGAGTTCATTCAAGCGGCAGCAGACTGTGGACGAAATGGCAGAGAGGTCCGATTTTCTCCTCTATCGGGGAAGATGGACTAAGGGTTCAGGGTTTTGAATCCTTCAATTCGACTGTTTATCAAATCCCCTGATTCCATTCTCCATAGAAATTCTTTTCTGTCGTCAGGGGAATTTCCGATTTCCGTTGTTTTTGGACTGTCTTCTGAAGCACTTGACCATTGTTAGCTTCCTCCATTCTGAGTAGGAATGCCGACGTATGAGGCAACATTGCTACCGTTTCAAATATTTCAGTGGTGAAATTCCTCGAGACGTACTTGAAGAAGAAGAATTTTTCATCAACAAGAAGGAGGATATTGAAAAAGAAACCCTGATGCTCACCAAAGACATTTCAAACATACGGCAGCTACTGCACAACCCATTTGAAGAAGTTCGTAACCATTTTTCAGTTGTATTTGTGAGCACGCTAAAGAAAGGCTAAACCAGGTAAGTCGTATTTGCACTGATATCTGCCTCTGCCTCTGGTAATCTGAAAGTCCCGGGCAAATGTCATACGAAGCAAAATAAACAGGCAAATGTGTTTCAGGTTCGATTCTGTAGATTTCTGTGACGTTCATTCCATCTGGTGCGATGGAAAGCCCTAGTTTACCAGAACTGAGACAATGAAGTTGTTGCTTCCTTGCCCGTACCAAATCTTCCGAATGAAAGAAACCTACATTCAGGACAGAAGCCGCTGGTGAATCCAGATAGATCACCCTCGATAACGAAAACTTTTACGAGCAAACCCGGTAGCTTTCCCTGACAGGCAGAAGCCATTTACGTCTGGACAGAGCGTCATAAGGCACCGAAAATGGCTGAGTCGACTTACCCATCGAAAGGTGGACGAGTTCTCACAGTGGTAAAGGTGGGACAGATCTGCGTGCAACGTATGCGTTCTGGTGCGGGTCGTGCAATCATCTACAACGCCGTGGGACCTCGTCCGTGGTTGGCTGTATGCGTCAGCTTAACCGTTTTTGAGCCCTTATTTCGCCTTGTTCATACCTCTTTTCGACCCATCAGCTCCCCACAAACTAACCTTGGGGGTCACAGTTCATTCTAAGGAAAGTAAATGGCTTCTGCCTGTTAGGGAAAGTTACCACGTGTAGTTGCGGAAATTTTCGTTATCAAAGCTAACCTACCTATCTACTCGGCCTTTGCTTACTGTGTAATAGGTGCGGTCGTACCCCTCAGCAGACTGTGCGCGAATAAGACGAGAATAAACAATCAGTTTATTAACATGATGGTGGGTGAATATCAGTCCAGTCGATGTCCTTGTCTGGAAGGTGGTGAGCCCAGAGGCTTACCTGATAAATAATTGAGAATGCACAGGAACCGTTTTATTCGAGTAAATCGAGTAGTGCTGCTGCTATAGTAAGTAGCGTCGGTTGTGAGCCCGTTGGAGNCTCGTGACCCAGGACGAATTGGCCATGCCGACAACGGGAAAGGGCAACATTGAGTCGGTGGGGGTCGTTGAGGAATTCACCGCGATCGGCGTCAAAGCCTGTTCTGGTAGTGGGCAAAATGATTATGTCCTTTTCTCAGCCTTGCACGGAATCCACTGTATGCAAGTCGATGCCATTGCTTTAAACAAATGGTATAGGACGCGTGCTTGTTCTTTGTACAAGACGATGATGGCGATAGAAAAAGGTTGGATATTTTTCCGACAGAGGCTCGCGACAGATCTCAGCTTCCACCTGGTTGCTAGGTGAATCGCTGAGAGTCCTCGAGGACTTTTCTGAAACTTCAACGAAGAGAAACGGCAGCTTAGGGTTAGGGCACCGAACGTTGGATAAGAATATTTGGCGTTGTTCTGCGCGTGTTCCATTCACGAGCGTGTGGTCGTAGAAGATCAAGTTAAGTAGCTCGTTGAGCAAAGGGTGGGCGTGGAAGGTAGTCGTCTGTGGCGCCGTGGGGACTCCTTTTGCTAAGAGAATCCACATGATCCCTCGAGCTCCAAACCTTGCCTAGTTATAAGAGCGAGGACAGCGGACATGTGGCTCCAGCCGATGAATATCTTCTACGTGGATGTGCCTGGCCCGAGGAACGTGAGTGACTAGAGCTACTAACGCCGGTTCCGGAACTTGAGAAGCTTCATCACCGATGATGAGAGAGAACTGGTCAATCCATTTGTGGAAAACACCGTCTGTGGCTACAGAGTTGAGTAGAGCCGACGTGGTGATGACCAGGACTGCCGGCGGATGAACTTCAGACATAATGACAACCGTATTGTTTATTGTTTATTGTTTAGTACGTCATTCGAATGCCGTCAAAAACATAAACATGATGCGTAGAGACAAAAACTCAAACTGAAGAACTAATTACCATAACAAGTCAAAAATGAGGATATCTGAAGGATACCTAACCACCATCTAGTCATTCTGGTATACCTAGAACTGAGCATTGCGAACTAGCAACAATGGTTCAGAAAGCTTGAGTGTAGCGCAAGACGAGAGCTTTCTAAACCATCGTTCTAAACCAGAGAGAGCACCAGTATCGCGTGTTAGGTCGGATATATCGCGTTCCGCCGAACAGTATTCATCACGCTCTGAGTCGGATAGGTCTACTACCAGATCCCGGTCGAACACGAATCGTTTTAGAAGCTCTCGACCTGGTTGAATTTGAGGCATGTGTCAAGCGCAGAGGGGGCAAGCCGATCTCCGCAGTCGTCGGCGA